TTATGAGGGACTTTCAAAAGTTTGTGGAAGAAATGGCATGAAAATAATTACTTTTTTCCCTCACGAATTTTTTGAAGTCCTCCTTCCCTCTCTCCCTCCTTCCCTCCCTCCCTCCCTCCCTCCCTCTCCATACAAATACTAACATGTCCTTGTACCCAGTACGTCATTCCTACCAGGCAGTTCTATGAGGACGGGGCCCGTGCAGGTTTAAACACCTCACACGAGATGCTCAGCAAATCGGTTGTTTTAAGGTGGCTACTTCAAATGGGAAAGTGTCGATTTGGTACTTTTATTGCGTGCTGCACAAACTTGGACTCAAATTCTGTGATTTTTCAAGCCCTATTCAAATTCACACTCTGTTGAACTTGAGAAGTTACTGACCCCTCTGTGATCTCAGCATATGTTACTGCCCTGGCTTCTCTCTGGAGTGTGCCAGTCTCCACGGACGATGTGTTATATGCCAATGTATTCAGAAGCTCAAGCCAGATGTGGAAGCTTAGGCTATGACTCATGTTCTAAAATAAGTGTGTGTGTGTGTGTGTGTGTGTGTGTGTGTGTGTGTGATTATTGTGTTAGAAGTCCTGGTTGGTGCTGTGGGTTTAATGCAGTGATCTGCTAAGCACAAGGTCAGCAGTTCAATCCCACCAGCTGCTGTGTGAGAGAAAGAAGAGACTGTTTACACCCCTTAATATTACAGCGGCAGATACTTTCTGTAGGATCACTGTGAGTTGGGATCAGCTCACTGCCAGTGTGTTTAACTTTATTTATGAGACGTTGGATCCCTCTTAAAAATGTCTGGCAAACCAGCATCGGATCATTGCTAGTCAGTGGATTCTGACTCATGAGAACACCATGTGTTGTAGAGAACGTCTTCATAGGGTTCTTTTTGTTTGTTTTGTGGTTTTGGCTTTAATTTGAATGGAAATCGCTCACTGTGCCTTTCTCCCATGGTGTTGCTGGGTTAGTTTAAATTATCCATCTTTATTTAAATGCGCAATCTGGTACATATAGCAGTGCCTTTTATTGGAGCTTGAGGCATTTCATGTTGTTTTGGGCAGGCAGGATTCTGACCTCTACTGCTATTTTCCTTGCTCTGCTCCTCAGTCTATGGGACTGTGGTTTGGCATTGTCAAAGGTCATGCTGCCTGACACGTAGAGAGGACAAGATGAATGTATTTTGAAGAGGACCCTTTTCTCCTGGCTAGTTATCCAGTTGACTCTTACTCATGGTGCGTCAG